TGAGTGTTCCTTTCTCTTCCGAGGGATTTTAAAAAAAAAATGAAAATAAAAAACAATATATATCTATATATGTTTGTGTATGTATTTAGATATGTCTGTATTACAATTGGTATCATCATTGAAGATGGATATCTGTTCCTAAATCGTGAGCGATTATGGTCGAGAGTTCAATCGAATGTAGAAAACGTGTATTCTGTTCAAAATATACGGGAATTATTTTTAATCATAAAATTATTATCTTTTACTCGTATAATGTTCTTAGTATTGTATAATATTCTTATGTTAGTATATTATTGATCGGAGAAAATATTATTTTTATCGTTAAATATAATAATTTAATAATTTAAAAATATTCGAAATATTTTATATTATTAAATAGAAAAAGAATAGAAATATTAAATTATTACAATAATTGGATTTCAAATCGAGAACCAAGTCTACTAATTTTATTTGTTTAGTATTATTTCTAAAAAAGAAAAGGTAAAACCATCTCTTGTGATTTAAAGAAAGACAAAAAAAAATATATATATATAGAAGAATGATAATATTTAAAATAAAAGATAATTTCAATATTATTTCTAAAAAAATAAATGTTACTTTTCCGTGACTTTTAGAAACTAAAAAACAAACCAGGAAGAACACAATGTGAAAGAGATAGCGAGTGGGATCGATCTATTATACTTTCGTGTTGTGAATTCATGAAAATGGTGTTGGCTCTCACTAGGTAGGATGACCTCTTCAGGGTTAAGCACGCAAAGAAGACTATGGATTCACGAGCCTGATCAAATCTCGCGGAATCGAAAGCAATACCCGTGTGTCAGGGCTAATATCGGAGATGAAAATGGGGTCGCGTTGTTAGTATCCGTAGTGCAATTGTAAAAGGATGCGCTTGCTTTCCCCTTCTTTCTATCTCTTTCTCTCATTTATTCTTTCTCCATCTTCCTGGATTCTCTATCTCTCTTTCTCTATTTCTAGGCTGCCAGGGCAAGCCAATCGGATCTTCTATTTCCCTTCTGTACGGTCTATGGAAGCGTGGGAGTACATGCCATTCAACCAGATACTAATACATCAACGCCTACATGTTTATATACACACGACACATATAGATACTTACTTACATGCATGTTTATGGTTTTACTGTTCCGTATCTTTGATTGTTTTACATTGGTCACGATTAAATATTGTTCGGTGTCCATCTAGTGTACTGCGTTGCAGTTTTCATATTTATTGTTATAATCATTTTCAAACACCGGGAGGTGTAAAAATGATATTAGAAAAGTAGAAAAACACTTTGACGCTGCTATTCCTCTACTACGAAAATGTATTCATGAAATATTTGTAATATTTATTTTATTTAAACGATTCTCTATGTTGTATGGGTATGCGTATCATGCAGGTTGTTTACTCATACATTCGTTGTTATTATAGAAAATATCAGTCTATCCAATTTTTTGTTTTTCATCATATCGGATGAATTTTTGTTCTTTTCCATCGATTTCATTGAAAAAAGAAAATACGAATATTCGTTTAATATTATTTTTCAAATAAATAATCGCGGTTGAGCGAGCTCTCGGAAATGAAATATTTTACGTACAAATTTTGAGTGGCAGTATTTGCTTTTTTTTTTTTTTATTTTTTTTTTTTTTTTTGGAAGCATTTATAAATTCGAACGACTATTGAAAATATACGTTTATGTATACAGGGTTTCCTAGCCATAGAAGGCTAGCTAGATATTTTCTTTGTTTTTAATGATGTGAAAAATGTTTAACAATAAGACATACTTTGGATCGTCGGTATTTTTTATCTTATAAGCGTGTATTTTTTTTATATTGAAAAAACTGAGGTATCCTGTATGTTTTAACATGTATATGTATTGTAGATGGTTTTATAAAAAATTGGAGATACATTTAACAATTATTTTTAAAATTATTTTAATCAAAGAATCAATATAAACATACACACATTCATGTATTTATTATTTAAATGTTAAAAAATAAATCCAAATTTGTCTTTAAAAATAGAAAACATACATCAGTTTAGAGATTTATTCGTTAATTTCCAAATGGATCTCCGACGCAAAAACCTCCCTGCGGTGAGATACGGTAACCGATATTGCTTACGGTGTCCGTAGAATTTGTATGGTGCAACGTATGCACTTTCGAGTCAATGACTGACGTTCGATGTATTAGAAAATTTAACCTTTTTTTCGTTAATTGATTGTAATACTAATGAAATGATTTAATGAATTAATGATTTAATTACGCGTTGTGATTGCTGTTTAAATTTTATTGATTTAAATTGATTTTATTTATTGTGATATTAAATTAACATAAATAATTAAAGGCGCGTTCAATCGTTTCTAATTAATTGTTTAAATGATTATTTATAAATATTGTAAATTATATATTTGAAGTTTCAACTGAATCTATATCAAAGCGTTTGCATCTTTGTATTACTTTAAGAATGAAGCAAACTCTGACACATTGTTTTTTTTTTTTTAAATAATCAAATGAAACATTTAGATTTATCAAATAATTTATAAAAAAATGAATCAGCCCGGGGACATTTCTTACATACTGGCCTATTACTTGACCCAAGAAGGGAAGTGTTACACTACTTCAAACTTGTGTGTCATACAAAAAGTTTCTTTTTATGCGAGTTTTTATGAGTGCCAAAGTTGTGTAAACTCTTAAAAATTGAAGTTGAAAAATTAAATACATTTTCTAACAATGAACATAAAAAGCGAAGGAAACTGTTCAGGACTACAATACCTACGTTACTATTATTATCAATTGGAGATTACAAAATTTAGCATAAACAAAGACTGTCAACTCTCTCATTCGCTACTCGAATTACAGCATGAAACAGTTGCATCGTACTTTGCCATGACGACTAAGAGTCGCCTATCGTGCTGCAAAGGGTTAACATAGTAGAAAAATGGTTTGAAAGGTAGAAAGCTCATTTACGAAAGGTACATAGAGAGAAGAAATAGACGGAGAGTTTGAGCAATAAAGAAAGAAAGAGAAAAGAAGTCGATGGTTGGTAGTAAAGTGCGATAGCTGTCGACGATAAGGGCAAAGTGGAGGATGAAAGTGACAGATGGACTAGTACAAGTACGAGAGAGAAAGTACTTGTTCAGGCCAACGACGGAGAAAGCTGCTGCTCTAGGTCGTTGCAACTTAAACGAATAGATGAATCTTCTCTCTGTGTTGAATCTACTGTGTGAGAAAGATGAACTCACTAAAGAAACATCATTTCTTTTTCTCCATTTTATTTATATACATATAGTTATGCGTGTGTATGTGTGTGCGTGCGTGTTGTGATACGTAAAAGAGAAAGAAAACGTTAGCCTTAAGGCTGTAGATATGCACCGTACTAGAGTACCAACCCATTTACTTTTGTTTATGTAATATTCTTCTCTTCTTTCAATCGTTATTATCTTTCCGGTCAGAGACCCCCTCGTAAGTTTAAAAATAAATAGAAATTCTTTGCCAAGAATTATTTCGATAGATACTCATCTTCTTCTATTTATCTTTCTTTCTTTCTTTCTTTCTTTCTTCCTTCCTTTAACTTTTCTATTCTTTTTCTTTTTCCGTTTTTTCTTTTGGTTCTTACTATTTTAGTTAAAGGATTGTACCAACGATCCAACCGCAAATGCTTTTTGCGGCTTCCGTCGTGATCCCTACGGCCTCTCTTTACCTTGCTTAATCTATCGATAATTCACGTAATCTAAGATATCAAGAAAGAGAGAGAGAGAAAGAGAGATTAACGGATTTGCATTTCGACTGATTACAGTCTCGTAATTAATGTGATCGCGCATCTTGATTTCGCATACTATACTTTCGTCATTTTGTCGATCATAAATTTCGAGATAGGCTTGCGTTGCACTAATTCGTAACAATAGATAGAATGTTTTACTTAGTTAATTATAGTTATCAAAACTCGAGATGGGGAGAGAGAGAGAGAGAGAGAGAGAGAGAGAGAAAGAGAATGGATTTATTTTCCATGTATCCGATATTGCATCTTCGAGAAATAGGATACGAAACGCGTGTAGTACCATAACGATTCACGTTCGGTGCCATGAAAGATCGCATTTTGCTGTGTATTACCTCAGATTCATGAGAGAGAAAGGAATGGGATGCGACCTTTCTTAATCCAGATATCTCCACGTTCGGTTTATTCCTTCATTCCTTCACTCGTTTATTCGTTTCGAATTATATTAAAGAAAATATTTTCTTTTTTGCGATCGATTATACGCGTGTTGTCGTTTAAATTTCTTTTCTCTCTCTCTCACTCTTTAATACTTTATTTTTATCCGCATAATTTATATCTTTTTAAATTTTCCTCTCACGCACAATTAATAGAGTCTACATTTTTGATAAATTTAAATTCACAGATATTGGTTTACGTTTTACTTTGAAAAAAAGAAAAAAAAAAACATGATTTACTAAATTATTATATAAATAAATATCTTTGTTTAATAAACGCAACGATCTATTCAAACAAAAACAAATTTGTCTAAAATTTAAAAAAAAAAAAAAAAAGAAACAAAGAACATGACATATAATACGTTTAAAAATTTGAAACTCGAAGAAGTAAATTGCATAATAAAAAGAGATTAAAGCATAAAAACTTGGGAAAAAGTTATATATACCGTTGGATGCTATAATTTAAGAAGAATCGGTGACAAACGAGGAAAGGAAAAAAAGTTACTTGCGGGTTATTCGCGGATTTGAGAGAAGAAAACAAGGAACTTGGATGTAAAAAGAAGTAGGTGCGAAAAGTACGAAAGTAGGAGAGAAAAAGAGAGAGTGAGAGAGGGAGAGAGAGAAATGCGAACTGACAAAATGTAGAGAGCGAGTGAAACCGAGTATACTGTGGTGAGGGTGGGTGGGGAGAGGAGTATAGGAAGGGGTAGGATTGCGCGCAAGGACGAGAGCGCTGGCAGATGGGTGAGTGGTGGGGGGTATTCAGTTCGGCCGTTAGCATGAGGTTTACATGCTGCCTTGAGGACTCGTCAGTATCGTCGCGCGACTCATCCGCGATGTTTCAAATTCGATTTTTTAATTTTTCTCGTGTAACGTTGTCGTAGAAGATCGTCACGTGAGATATTATTGTTGTTATCACACAATCAAGCTGTTATACGTGTTTTTATTCATATTATTTTATCGATTAATTTTTATTGGTGTTTTATATTTTTCTTTTTTCATTTTTTTTTTCATCTTTTACTTTGAAGAAGAAGAAGAACAACAACACTTTCTGCATAAAGACTTTTGGACCCTTCTTCGAATGTTTCCTTCCATCAAGTAATCATTTGTTAATCATTTACCTGTAAGTACGATTATTTAATTGTTATAATATGTTGAATTATTTATTTGCTTTTATTTCATTTGATCGCGAAAGAAAGTTATAACAAAATGGCGCGAAAAGTTTCTTTCGCGATACATTGGATTTTGTTTGACGTTTGTTTAAATGATGTTGGGTTTGTGATTTATAGAAGAATGTGATTAATTTTTAAAGTTAGATTATTATTCGAATAGTTTAATGTAAAGTTGACATTTATTTATTACGTTTACTGTTCGTGTTTATGCGTTTCTCATTACTACGCGAAAATTTGTTGTAATAAACTTTTTCTCCGGCAGGTGGTGCATCATACGAATGTTTGAAAGATTAGATCTTAGTTAATATTTAATGATTATATCCTACTTTATATATGGGGATGATGATTATGCTAATTTTTTATTATGTTTACGACCTGATCCATATTTTTATATTTATGAAATGAGATCATTTTTTACGAAGATAATAAACAAGTTTTATTGTAAGTTATTAATTACTGATATAATTAATTCGTATAATGTTATTATCGTGCAGGGTATTTATTTCTCCACGTTTATGGTCACTATTAATTATACTTAGTTTTTTTTTATTAATTATTTATCGCAATGTAGGAACTTCAGGAAAGGTTTGTTCGAAAACACTTTATCCATAAATTGCTCGTTTTAAATTGCACGTCATTGTATAACTCGTCCCAAAAGTTGTTTTACCGAATTAAAAAATTGTAAATTTATTTATAATGAGTTTATCCTTTTTTACAATACTGTATCGAGATTCGTATTTTGAAATGAAAAAGAATATATAGTAATTCTCTTGAATAAATTTCAATATTGATTTTTCGTTATATATTTTTCTTTTTCCGTTAAAGCGACTCCAGGGATATCCTGTAAATGAAGTTAAACATATATCAATATAACTGGTTCCGTTAAGTAATGGCTTTTACGTGTCCAAATCAATATAGTTTTTCAAACATACACCAATTAAATGACTCGCTCATCCATAAACAAAAGAGAAAATATCCCATACACCATACACACACACACACACGTACCCACATTCTCATCATACATATATAGATATTTATTTAGTATTGTTTACTTATCGTATTTTTGTTTGTTTTATTTGTTGATTTTTATTTTCAAAGATATTCGATTTAGTTTAATTAACGCAGATATTCTTTGAGTAACGCGATATGCTGTATAGTAGATTTTCATTTAGTACTAGTAACTAATTTACGAACTTATTTAAAAAGTTTCTAATTGAAGTGCAAGAAGTTCCTCTTCTTAAAAGTTAACTTTTCTCTGTCTTTACTACGTGTATCTAATTCTGCTTGAAAGATAAAACTTGCTGATATGATTGTGCTACAAATGTTCTTCAAAAGATCTTCGTAATTATGAACTTTAAACTTAATCCTATCATCAACAGTTAGTAAAATATATTTTACATTTGAGACACACAATATAAAAGACAAAACATTTATATATATATATATATATTACGAGCAATTTATTACTGCAGGCATTCTACAGAATGCCTAGAGAATTGCAGTTTTACTTAGTTGTGTTTTGAGCACGGAGGGGAGGGAGGATATTTTTATATTTCCATAGTTTGTTTCACTTACAATAGTTTTAGATTTTTTCCCTGTCCCCAAATATACATTCTATAGCACTCGATGATATATAATATACTATAAGTTTAATATGTTATATTTTATAATTATATTTTATTAAACAAAATTATATTAGATGATATATGTGCCAGTGATTATAACAATATACTAATTGTAAGTGAAAAAATTGAAAAAATTGATTTTATGATTTATTCAATGTTACAATTATTTATACGATAAAATAAATTATATATTCAATGTTTTCAATTTTTTTGATTTATTCCATTGTTATAATTATCGACACATATGGTATCTCAAATGTAAATTGTATATATTTTTATTTACCAATTAGGATTGGAAAAAGTTCAGTGAAGATGGTTGTTTTAAGAAATGATAGGAAAAAAAGTAAAAGTGAATAAGAACGGAGACACATTTCCAGGTTTGCGATGTCGATGTTTCGAAGAGATGTACTATACACATAACATTAACTCACACGTTACAACTTTTTATTTCTTCCTCTCTTTTTCTTTTTCTGTCTTTCTCTTTCTTTCAACGAAAGAAGCTATCTTTGTGCGCTGTAAACTTTACGTTTAGCCGAGTTGACAAACTTGCCGAACTTGTACTTTTGCCACTACGTTCGTGCCGGAAATACGCTATTTCGTGTTCTCGATTCTAATATACGTTTGAACTTTAACCTGCTTTACGAAAACGTTAAACTTTTTTAAAGTACATTTTTTCTTCTTAATTTTTTGTCGTTGTCTTCTTTACTTACGTTTGATAAATTATTTTCAGTCGAATTAAAAAGCTCGTAATCGTTTTTCTATATTCAAATCTTATTTTATTCAAATAAATAATTATTTGTTTGTAATATATCATTTATCGAAGTAATATCAAATGTATATAGAATATTACAGACATTTGATCTAAATTAGTTAACGATCGGACTACATAGTAACCATTTATACTTTTGCTAATGCTTACAGACCTAGAAATAGCGCATAGTTGGTCGGATTTAGGACATATTTGTTTGTTCTAACTGTTCATGGTTCATTGAGTCAATCATTTGAACAGAATACATTTAAACCTCCTTGATCTATTGTTTTACATCCCTGAAAATAAATCAGAAATAAATGCAAAAGTGTAATTAATTGTAAAAATGTAATTTGAAAAAATTACATTTTTTTATATTAAATTTAAAAACTTTTGGATCACCCTGTATGGATTACATATCAATACAATATATATATATATATATAAAATATTAAACGATTGCTAAAGCTCATTATTTTAATAAAAATAACAACAACAGGAGTTTATCATTTTCTGTTTTTATGCTTATCGATGATATTATCATGGTTAATTTAAAAGAATTCCAAAATTTAATAAATATTAATTAGCTGAATAAAATATAGCCGGAAAATAAATATAGGATGTTTTAATATTTATAATTATTCTTGATATTATCGATACGTTCGTATTTACTTTTTATCAAATATTGCGATTCGAAAGCATTTTAACGAGGAATGACTGACATTGTATCGACTTGTACTACTAGCTTTCGAAGCATATTTCACTGATCGGAAAACGATATGTCTTTTTTTTTTTTTTTAATGTAATGAACATGATAGGAGTATTTTTTTTCTTTTTAATTTTACATAATATTATTATCACTTTAAAATGAAATATTGTTTTTCCATTAACGAACACACGCACACACACAAATTATTGTGAATGTATAGATTAATTTAGAAAAAATTTGATCTACTTTTTCAGATTAATTGGAAGAAAATAAATAAATGCGTTTTAATATTCGCGTACAATGTCTTCAAATAAATGTAACTTTTTTTCGAGATTATAGAAGCTTCAATGTAATATTTCCATTCAAATTTTATTTAATTTTGATAAAAAGTCTTCGAACAAGTATTCCACGCTCGTGGAAAGCAAAGAAAAAAATGTTATAATCTGAAATTTTCATTGTGTCATTTTAATAACGTGTTTGTTTTTTTTTTTATCTCTCTCCCTTTCTCTCTCTCTCTCTCTCTCTCTCTCTCTGTCTCTCTTCTCTTCTATTGTAATTATAAATTCGTTATTTCGGTACGTGCAGTAAAAAAAGATAAACGTGTACATACGTCACGAATAAGCTTTGTCTTTTTCCTGTTCCTATATTTTTCTTTTTTTTTTGGTGAAAAAAATTGTAGAAAAGTAAATTCCAAATTTTGTCGTTAGCATTATTCGCGAATATCTTAATTTACGTTTAAATATCGGTAGAAGAAAATAAATTTGTATGGAATGATAAACAACCATAATTGCTTCGTTTCTCTTCCTGTAGGAGGTACCGTATTATGATAATACGACATTCGTAGAAATTAGTATCGTGTTCGATTCCTTATTGTGAACATTTATTTTATTTTTGAATTTAAATCTTCGATATTTTATAAAAGTAAATATATATATGAGAGTGAAAGTGTTAAAATGAGAGTGAGAAAGAGAAAAAGAGAGATAACGGCGTTTAATCTTGAATTTTTTATTTCTCATCATTTTAGTCGATTTAAATCCTAGTGATTAAGAATTTATAATATTCATTTGCGCGTTATCTCGTTTTATTTTTTTTCGCGAAGAAATTTATTGTATTTTCAATCGTTTAGATAGAAATATTTAAATGTTAACGCGTATATATATATATCAAAAAATATACTTTATGAATAGTTTTAATATAAATAAAATAGATAGATATAATTTTAAATATTAATTATTTTTTCATTGTGTTTATATATTTTTCAGCATATTCAAATGATTTAGAAAATTACTTTGAAACTTCGGATTAATCCTTTAGAGAAACCTTAAGTCTAACAATACATTTCTCGAATATATTTGAGTAGAATTTTGTATTTAAATCCAAGAGTATTGTTTCATAGTTGTTAGTGTGTCAACTTTCGTTTTAGAAGGACTTATTGTTGCAAGTATTTTATTTCAATAATAGACTACTTCCGAATTCATCGCAATTTAGCAGGGAATACGATTTGAAACGTCTAAAGGGTACTCTAGTTTGAAATTCAATGCTCGAATAAGTTTTGTTCGTATTTGTCGCGTTTGCTTTTCAATTTCCTTTATCCTCGATCGACGGATGTAAATACTTTGAAATATTTTTGATCTATGGATAGCATGCTTGTAATTAATGACATCGCATACTCCAGTTGATCGTTCTATAAAAGGTAATAAATAATATTTGAAGAATGAATACTAAAACATTTAAAAGTGAAAGTTTGCAGATTGTAAACTTAAAATGATTCTTATGTAACTACTCTATATATCTTAATTTTATTTTTAATACGTAAAATACGACGCATTATTAATTTAGTCTAATTCATTTTTTAATTTACATATT